GGGGCGGCCCACGCGGGCGCGGCATGGGCGCAGGGCGGCACGGCACACCACTTGGGCCCGGCCATGTCGCCGTCGCCGGGGGCCGGCGGGGGCCACCAGCCCCAACCGCTTGGGCTGTACGCGCAGGCGGCCTACCCGGGGGGCGGCGGCAGCGGCCTGGCCGGAATGCTGGCGGCGGGAGGCGGCGGCGCGGGGCCGGGCCTGCACCACGCGCTGCACGAGGACGGCCACGAGGCTCAGCTGGAGCCGTCGCCTCCGCCGCACCTGGGCGCCCACGGACACGCACACGGACATGCACACGCCAGCGGCCTGCACGCGGCAGCGGCGCACCTGCACCCGGGCGCGGGCGGCGGTGGCTCGTCGGTGGGCGAGCACTCGGACGAGGACGCGCCCAGCTCGGACGACCTGGAGCAGTTCGCCAAGCAGTTCAAGCAGCGGCGCATCAAGCTGGGCTTCACGCAGGCCGACGTGGGGCTGGCGCTGGGCACGCTGTACGGTAACGTGTTCTCGCAGACCACCATCTGCCGCTTCGAGGCCCTGCAGCTGAGCTTCAAGAACATGTGCAAGCTCAAGCCGCTGCTCAACAAGTGGCTGGAGGAGACCGACTCGTCCAGCGGCAGCCCCACCAACATGGACAAGATCGCGGCGCAGGGCCGCAAGCGCAAGAAGCGCACGTCCATCGAGGTGGGGGTCAAAGGCGCGCTCGAGAGCCACTTTCTCAAGTGCCCCAAGCCCTCGGCGCATGAGATCACAGGCTTGGCCGACAGCCTGCAGCTGGAGAAGGAGGTGGTGCGCGTCTGGTTCTGCAACCGGCGGCAGAAGGAGAAGCGCATGACCCCGGCGGCCGGCGCCGGCCACCCGCCCATGGACGACGTGTACGCACCCGGCGAGCTGGGGCCGGGCGGGGGCGGTGCGTCGCCGCCCTCGGCGCCCCCGCCGGCCGCGCTGCACCACCACCACCACACACTGCCCGGCTCCGTGCAGTGACCCCGCGGGCCGGGCCCCCCGCCGGTGCGCGGCGAGGCGCCGCGCGGCCTGAACTCTTTTTGTTCGGTTGCTTTGGATTTTACAAAAAGCCCAGAAACTTTCGAATAAAACCAAACACCCGGACGACCCTCTCCTGCGAGCGGCGAAGACGGCCGATAGGCTGCGTCGCCCGAGCCCCGAGAGAGAGGAGCGAAGATCCGGAACGCGCCAACTCACCCCGGGCATCCTGCCCGCCGCCTGCTCCCTGCCCCCAACCCCTCGACGACCCCCGCCCCTGCCCCCCCGGGCTGTTCGGGGCCGGATCCCGGCAGCGGCCTCCCCACAGCGACAGGTAACGCGGTACGGGGTTAGGGATTACCCGGGAGAGAGGACGGAGAGAGGAGAGTTCCCCATCCCTCTCCCTGGCGCGGATTCCCGAGCCTGAGGGTCGAGGGTGGGGGACTGTCACTTTATTCGCTCCACGCCTCTTCTCTCTCATAAGGATGCGCCCCATCCCCCTTACCTTTCCTCCGGGCTTGGTTTTTTACAGTTTTTATTTATTCACGGAGCCTCTCGGCTCCTGGGGTCCTTCTAACTCCGCCCGCGCCCTTAATTTAAATCGCTGTATACTGTATTTATCGGGGCCCCGGAGGGGAGGCCGCGAGAGCCGCGTCTGTGTATAAAAGCAGGAAATAGCCAAAGCTTTAATCTAGCCTAATTTATTTTTTCCCCTTACCTTCCCCTACCCTACCCCAAAAAAGCAAAATAAAACAAAAAACAAACAAAAAAGAAAAACTAACAACAAAAAAAAATTCGAGTGTTCATTTTTCGTTTCGTTTTATCCGAGCTCCGGCTCGGTTCCCGGCCACGCTGGAGGGGTCTGCGCTCCCACGCACACGCAGATGGGAAGGGGCTTCTGCCCGGCTGTAGACCGACCACCGCACAGCAGGGCCCCCACTCCCCGCGGGGCCCTGACCTCCCGGCCACAAACAAACGAAACTCGGAAAAGTTGGCGATATTTTTTAACCAGCTGTAGAAATAAGCCGTTCCCTGAGAACCTTCTGCCTGAGTCCCTGCAGCTTCCGTCCGCTCCCTTTCAGCCCCCTGGGATGCAGGATGCTGGAGGAGGCCTGCAGAGAAATTCCCCAAATTTGGGGTGAGGTGGGAACCATGTAAATATGTGAGATATGTACACACTGGCGGGGAGAAAGAAACATTTTGTGCTTGGTTTTTATTTTTGGTTTTCCGGGTTGCCCTCCCTCCCCATACTAAAGGATTTTGTACACCCACTAATCCGAAAAAGATATTTTAATATGATTTCCAGATTTCTGATCCATCTCTATTTATTTTCTGGATGTGTTTGGAGCTTCCCCCTTCTCCATTTCTTGTTCTGTTTGTTACCGTCTGAATTTAAATTTTGTTATTTTATTTTTCTTATCTTTTGGAACAATGTTTTGGTGCATTCTCTTTGTATCTTTATTGCAAAAAAATAATAATAATGTAGACTGGGAAGTTCCCTTTATATTTATGTTATAGTAAATATTTTATTACTCACATAAACATGTACCCCAGGGCTGTGTCCTGTCCTCTTTACTACTAGGGCTGGGCTGGTTTGTGGGTGATGGGATGGGATACCCCGATTCACCTCCCCTAAAGTTCTGGCCTCAGTCCTTGGAGGAAGGTGACCACACAGACCTTCTTCCAGGCCAGTATCGGTGCTGCTTGTTACTTGGGCAACGCTTGGGCCCCTGCCTCAGATGTGTGAGGTTAGGGAAGATGAAGCTACCTCATGTCTCCGCCCCCCACCCCATAAACAGACTATCCTGGGACCAGACCAGGGCCTAAGACACTGCAGACACCACACCGAATTTGGATCGGCCATTCCTCGGGCACAACTCAACTGCTCTTCTGGGCCAAGGAAGAAACCTGCCTCTCTCGACCTGGACCACCAGCCGGGCATCTTTGTACTCCCCACCTCTGACTTTGCACTCCCCGGGTGGGATCCAGGCCAACTACATCATTCTGGGTCTTGAGGCAGCTGGAAGCCGAGTCAGGGCCCATCAGCCCACCCCAGCTGGCTTTCCACCTGCAAACAAACAGTACCCAAACCTGCCTGGATCCACTGGGAGTTCTAACAGCTTTTAGACAGGGGTCCTGGGGGAGTTGAATGGCCTGGGCAGGGACCCCCGCCAGTTTGCGTGGGCAAAGCTGGTCCTACTTCTATGCAAACAAATGACCTGCCCCTCTTGGGGCAGGAGTGGGGGCAAGAAGAGCTGTGCCACCAGAAAGCCCTGGCATCGCCTCTCCAGGGATGGGTCCCCAAGGGAGCCCCCGCTCCCCAGGGAGTGATGCTCCTGCCTATAGGAGGACTCCCGGGCTGTGCAGTCATGACCTGGGGAGGGAAGCAGACATTCTCAGACATCCCCCTGTCAAGCCTTAAACACAGCCTGCCCGCCTCCCCAGAGTCAGGATGGTGGAGGCAGCTCTGGGTTTCAGGGCCAAAGCCACAGACTATCTGTGTCCCAGGCAAGCGCTTCTGCTTTAGGACAACTCCTCTTAAAAATACTAATCAAACGGCTCTTCCTGTTTCCTCCGTAGATGCAGTTCTCTCCCCTTCTCAGGAGAAACCACATGAGGTTTCTGTCACTCTTCGTGGAGACAAAGCTCGAAGGCACAAGCTGGGGAGAAAGTTGTGTCCCTAGTGAGGGTATGTGTGTGGCCCCCTCCCACCAGGGAAGTTGTCCAAGCCCAGGCCTGTGAGAGGCCTTGGCTCCAGCCGACAATATCGTGGGCGCCCAGAGAGGTGCTCCCAGACTTCCAAGTTGGCTGTCTCAGGCGGGCTGGGGCCTCAGGATGACTTGTTCGATGCTGAGGGTTCCAGGTGACACCCTGGGCTCTGCCCCTCAATCTCAGGAGAGAGTTGTCTCTGCAGAGGCCACCAACCAGAGGCCACGATGGTTTTCAAAGGCTCAGCCTCTCGCTGCTCCTTTTTTGTTGTTGTTGTTGTTTTTTCCTCCCTCCTTTAAGTCCAGCCTAGTTAGTGATTAGCCCTGCAGTTGGCACCCGTGTCCCAGCCATTCCATTCCCCAAACCGGCAGGCCACGGAGCCTCCCCAGGCTTCTTGCAAAGGAGGCTGGAAACTTTACCTGCCAGTTGGGTGACACCACGATCGACCAAGAGCCGCTGGTCACCCCACCTAGGCCTCTCATTTCCTGCTCCACTAACTACGGAACTTCAAAGTAGTCCCACACTTCCCCACACTCCCTCCTTGTTGCGTCCTTCCTGGATTTGTCCCAACCTCAGGGCCCTGAAATGAAAGCGAATGTAGCTCAGAGCTCCCTGCCGCCTGAGCCGCAGCAGGATTGGAGGTTGGAAAGGGCGGCCAGGAAGACGGGGGGCCCTTCCCTGGCCTCTGCCTGCAGCTGACATCCATTGATAGATTGATTGATTTCCTAATTGTCTGCTTAACCCCGTCTAAGAGGGTGGATTTATTATTGAAGCAAGTCAACTCAAAAACAGCAAAACAATGTGGCCCCCAAGATCTAGCAGCAGCTGAGGAGTAGAACAAAAAGATGGAAAAAAAAGTGGGAAAGGGGACGGAAGAAAATCTTCCACTTGGCAAGCATTTTGCTTAATGAGACACCAGCCTGGGACAGCTAGCCGGTAACCCAACCCTTGGTCACAGAAGGCCCCCGGGGGCTCCTTCCCCTAGTCGCCAGCCTGGGATGATGGTAGGAACCACAACACATCTTACTGTATAAGAAAGAAACCATAGGAAATATGGAGAAATATCTTTCCCTGGAGTCTTACTCCCTGGATAAAATAAGAGTTTAGGAATGGCAGTCGGCTGTGAGCTTGACCGCGGGTTTTTCCATCCCACGTGTATGTGGATCTACCTGCTCACTCCTGAGAGCTTGAAACTTCCTTTCGTTCAAGAGAGCCAGCTGTCCCTAGCATTGACCTCCCACGAAGCCCAAGCTTTCCCTAACAGATTTGGGATTTTCTCATCCTATCTCCCTCCCCTTCTCACTGGAACAAAATTATTTTCCAAGATCATGCAACCACAGATTCTGGTATCTAGAGAGAGCATCCCTCGCCCCATGTGAGCCTCACTGTGCCTGCAAATCCATAGCTGCTCCCAGACACAGGAGGGGTGAAAGAAAGTCCATGCTACATTGCCGATGCTTTGAGCTGGGACAACATTTGCAGGGTGGAGGGTGGCTAAAATGGGAAGAAGGAAGGTGGCCACTGTGGTCGCCTGTGATCAAGGCGCACCTGGATGGTGCCCGGCCCTGAACTTCAAGGACGCCTGTATTCCCCACCACCACGTGCCCCAGGAAGTTGCACTGGCATCAATGTTGCATAGCTTAGGACCTGTGCAATCATCCCTTGACCCCCAAGACTCAACTGGGTGTCCACAGGACTAGCTGACCCCCACCACAACTGCCCACTTAGGGCTCTTTAGAATTGAGCCTCCTCTGGAGAGGCTCTGGGCCGACAATGGGGAAGGTCAAGCCTCTAGTGACACACCCAGGCCCAGACTTTCCCCAGCAGGGCTGGAGCTCCTGAAAAGAGACCCACCTGAGCAGGGGGAGGAATGAGAGGAGGCTGGTTACTTGGTCTGGCGGCTGCCCCCGAGCTTAGGGAAGGGGATTCACCTGGAGCCTCTGGCTTAGTGACCCAAAGCCAGAGGAGCCGTCAATCCTGTCCCTGCTCCGCATATGTGAAGGCCTTGGAGTTAGTGTTTGGCCCTCCATTCTGGGCTCCCCTTGCCGCTTGGGAGGCCTCCGTGTGGGAGGACTGCCCTCTATTGGTCCCTGAGCTGGGACATGGCAGCAGTCACCAGGGCCACCTCACAGCTGAGCATACCCCCAAATCAGCATCAAGCTGGCTACTCTACAGAGGGTGCCGGGTAGAGCAGAGGCAACTTTCACCTCCAATGGAAGCGGTCCTGTTTCACACGCACAGGCTTGCCCGTGACCCTTCCTTCCCCATCTACTACCCCGCCTGTTTCCACAGCCATTCTCGGAAATTCTCCATCACAGCTACCTCCTCTGTCTCTGCCCCACTCACACCTATCGCTACCACTCCTCCTCTCAACCAGCTAAAACCCTGATGCACACTCCGCCAGCTTGCTCACTCACACGTGCTGACACTCTCGGGCACACCCATGCCACCGTCTGGCCAGCTTCGCGGCCTTTGACACCGAGCTCTCCAGAGTCTCTGGGTACCTGCACCTGTGCTATTTGATTTGCCACACGCAGCATCCTTTCCATCCCTTGGCGGGGTCCCCTCCTCTCAGGATTTTCAAGCACTCACCCCACTTTCCAAACACATCCCTGCCCATCATTGTTCCCAGCTCCTCCCAGATCTTGCCTGCTCCCTTCAGATAATTAAAGTTAGGCTGTGTGTTTGTATGTGTGATCTTATTTTTTAAACACACACCCCCACACATACATATGCGTGTATATATACAAACACACACAGCAATTAGAACTATCCATTCCTGCCATCGTCCCTCCTGTGCTAAAAACATGTCCCCACATCGCCACACCATGAACCCAGCATCATGTAGTCACGGGCTCCTGATCTCTCTCTCTCTCTCTCTCTCTCTCACACACACACACACACACACACTTTCACACACCCACCCCCAGCTCTCTCCCTGGTGTTTCTCCAGGAGCATGACCTACCTCCCACCCACCTCCAGGGCACCTGAATGGGCTCCCCTCAGAACCAAGAACCAGGAGGATT